CCAGCTCCCGGCAAAAGCAAGCTCTTCGACTTATTTACTGACGTATCAGGCTATGGCATAAAAGCGTTTTTCGAACGAGTACGCAAATCTATCGGCTTCGTTTGCCAGCCCATGAACCCCTTTCTGCAGAAATATTAGGCATATGGTTAAGAATTTCTCCCCCTTGTCACTGCCCTCGGCAGAAGGTCTCACTTATTAAGCGCCTTTAAACTACGGCGCATACCGACGTTTCTTCTCCCACTGGTTTGCAGTAACTGAGTGCATCAGCGCCTCCGCGTGACCGTACTGCTCGTTCGCTAAATTTTCTAGCGGCACTTCAAGGCCTCACAGCCACATACTTGTAAGGTGTACATAAGCAGATTACCGTCTTTCTGGTTCGACGACCTCAGTAATCTACTCAACGTGCTCCAGTTACTCCTGAAGGCGCTTAAACTTCAGCACTGCTTGCGACCGAAGTCGACAATCTTTTAAGACCCTCACAGAAGACAGGCAGATATCGCAGCGATCGCAAGCATAAGCTTTCGTTGGTGGCGACAGCCTGTTAGCGTACAAAAACTTAAAGTTGTTCCCACGAACACGGCCCCAAACGCCCATACCCGTTGCTCGCCAACTGTTCCACATGTGCCTTACCCTAGCGCAACTTTGCAGTCAGCAGTATCACAGCCTGTTGAAACGCTCACGCAAGCAGTCACTGGAGCAACGGAGGGCCCTTTCTCGACATGCATGGACTTCGTCCCATGAACAGCGCCTGATATTCTGTAGTTCTTACACTGGCGCAGCTCAACAGAAGAGCAAAGACTCCACAGTTGAGTTCCGCAACCATCACTTTACCTTCCGCTTTTGTTCGCCTCAACTGCGGATCGCTACCTAGAGCATGTGGTCAATATGTTTAGGGCAATTTCAAAAGTTCTTTATTCACGTGCTTTACAATCGCCACGGTCATGTAACAACTGCCCACTGTGGACAGAAAAAGACCTTCGAAGCTCGGAGCAAACATTATGGTTGGCGAGACATGCATGTTTATAGTACTGCACGCGTGGAGTCTTGCGTTTAGTGCTGTGCATCTAAATCACCCAGTCAAAACTATGGAGGGCTTCTTCAGCCGCCGGGCGTTGCCTCTAGCCGTTGCAACCGCGTCATTCTAGACCCAACAACTTTTCTGCCTCTCTCTGTCTCTGGTTTCACTTGATTCCGTTGCAAGGTGACCTTCTATCCAGCGTCGCTCATTTCTTTCCCACAAAAAAGACGTCGTTAGCAGCTGGCACTGCTTAACCTCAATCTAGCCAGCTCAATCGTTAGCTCGGCTTCCCTTTGTGCCTACTCGCGGCAGCGACTCTCATTTTCAGTCGGGCTTATGTCAGCAGCTGTAGTGCGCAGGCACTACAATAGCGCTTGCTGGTGACCTGAAGATGATAGCTAGCTGGTGACCTATAAGAAGTTAACGCGCTGAACAAGGACAGAAGCTTCTTACTAGTAATGAAGTAAGGCAGTTTATCAGCAAATTAGCATGCATAAACTAGACGTGTCCGTGAATAACTTTGGGATATTGGGGCTGGCGATAGGGCACCGGTGCGGGCCACCGCCCCACAGGGCCAAGGAAGCAAGAGCCCTGAGTGCGGGGAGCTTTTAAGGAAAATCGATTTCAGGACTTGAATGATGACAGCGATTATTGATATTTTGGTATTTGTTTCATGAGAGGTGCGTCGAAGGTAGAAGGTTTTTCATAGGGCGCCCTACTCGTGGGCCAGATAAAAGCGTAGTTGTAGTGCGCGGCGCCTACTGCTGCGACTACGCTGCTTCCTGCCCCTCGAGCAGGCCTACAAACTACGCCTAGCGTAGCCCCATTTCTCGGACACTATAGCTTTATTCCATCGAAATACGACAATTCTTAAGTGTTTCAAATCTGTCTGTTCGATTCGCCCCACTCTGGGAGCTCGCCTCCTAGGCGCTATGGGGAGGAGGCCCACACTGGCGCCGGCGCTATCGCCAGCCCCAGTCTCCACACAATTTCCACACATTTCACGTATTCATTAGAACTAATAGACAGCTTTTCTTACTTTAATCCTATTGGGAGGGTCCTGTCCTCCTCCAGTGTTGCGGCCGCTTGTAGGTCGCTAGCTATCATCTCTAGGACACTAGCCAGCCCCATTGTAGTGCCTGTGCACTACAGTAGTCGCAGCAGTAGGCATTGTGCACTACAGCAGCTCTAAAATCCGTTAAGCATCATTCAGCCCATATCCTCCTTCTACCAACTCAGAACGATGGACACGCCGAGAGTAACACCAAGAATTGAGTCAACTGTACCGTGAAATAGATGCTTTGTTACACTCAGTCTGACAAGCTGGAGAGGGAGCGTCCCTGCTTTGTCGAATAATACAACTAGCCATTTCTCGAAGAAACTCTGTCATTGATGTCCTGAGGAATTGGAACCCTCTTACTGCCCCCTTTCTCGAGATTGTGGGTGCTTTGATACCGCGTCTTCAACCAGGAACGATCAAGTGATTCAGCAACTCTCTGTGGGTAGAAGTCCTGCAACGGTGCCGGCGCTATCGCCAGCCCCAATCTCCTGGTACTCACAGATACGTCTAGTTTACGTATGCTAATTTGCTGATACACTGCCTTATTTCGCTACTAGTAAGAAGTTCCTGTCCTCGTTCAGCGTTTTAACCTCTTATAGTTCATCAGCTAGCTATCTTTTTAAGGTCACCAGCAAGCCCTATTGTAATGCCTGCGGACTGCAGCAGTGCGGCTTCCATTCCGCCACATCGAAATCTTGCGGTTTACCTACCTTGCCTTTTCCCTTGGACTGCGTGCTGAGGGCCGTCACACTAGCCAGCGTTTTCTCTGGTAAGGTGCGCTTCTTTCTTTCAGCATGAGCCTTGGGCACTGTTTACGCACTTGCATCTTTGGTATCTCCTTGCTCTTACGTTAGGGTCCGCTGCATTCATAGCTGGGCGGCTTCGACGGCCTTCGGCCCCGTGATGGAAACACACTGAAAACTTCGGCATAATTACTGGTTCCTAGGGGATTCTTCTCCCTCAACTCCTGGGCTCTGGCTCTTCAATGATGCCGTTTCTTGTCTCTCTTGTGGCATCTCTTAGTACTCTTGCCTCGGCGTGGATGGAATGCCAAAATCTCTAATGTAGTGACCTTCACCCCTCACCTCCTGCGGATTCTTCCTGACCTTCTAGCCTCCAATTTCCGTGGATGGCAGCTCTTTAACAAGTGCCTCATGCCTTGACATTCGGAAAATTCCAAGCCGTCGGTGCGGCCGCTCGGTATACGGCGTACCTTGTCACCTCTGCTCGTCTGACATCAATTGATCCTTGTGTGATCCTCACCAACGCAGCGCTTTCATTCGCCGTATTGCTCTGTTCACTGATTCTCTGCTTCGTTCCATGAGCCTTCCGCTGCTGCAAATTCTACTGAAGTCAACCGTTGATCGTAGCTCTGCTGCTACATAGGCTGTACCTGCTTCTTACTGAAGTTAGCTCTTTTTCCCTTTGCTGTGTCTGCGTGTACTATTTTCCGGAACCGGTGTTGGCGCTGCATCGACGAGCTTAACATTTTGTTTGTATATGAGCCTCCAGAGCCAACCGCATTTGCCTCTATGAAGACGGTTTCAGTAATACCTGTAGACTTAGGTCAAGCACCTAGATTTTCCGTTGCAGTGGTCCACCAAACCTTCGTAGGCCTCAAAAAATCATAGCCCATTGGCCACTATTATGCAAAAACTTGAATAAAAAAAAAACGATATTGGCGATTCCTCATATTGTTTGAAGTGGTTGTACCCATTGCGGTTTGCTGCGATTCCACCCGGAGCCATTGGCGATCTCCAAATAACCTGCTTGCTGCCGGGCTTGTGAAACCAATAGATCCTTTGAAGCCTGTATTCTTACACAGTTTAAAGCCCCACTTGTGAAAATATTCTTCGAACTCAGCCTTGTTAGCGTTAGTTTCGTAACCTTGCAATGTGCTGTCTAGCACGTGCAACAGCTCGAAAGCTGAGCCAAGCAAAATGAGTGCCTCCTCTGACGCTACAAAATAAGGGGGGGAGCATCTTCAATTATCGCGCTGTTTGGAGAGCAGTTGAGCTTGGCCTAAGGGGAAGGGTAGGACACGTCCGTCAGCGTCTTCCAGTGTCGTCTCATGGTGGGACCCCACAGGAACGGTTGAGGAAGTATCCTGTTGGAAAACGCATTTGAAGAACACGCACATACTGGCAATTACTCACGACTGCTATACGGCAATAGAAGACCTGTAGATCAGGCGTGTTTCACTGACGCATCACTTCGACAGGAGCCAATCAGTCGGACTCTGGCCACCAATCCATCAGCAGCACGTACAGCAACAAGAGGAGAAAGAGACTGGATCCACGGTTGAAGCTCGAAATAGCGATGCACTGAAACAGCACACTGAACGACTTCGGTGAGGCGAACGGCTCAAATCGAGTGTCTGAGGCTAGAAAAGTATCAATCGAATGTTTTCAGGAGGGAAGCTCCCCTCCCATCCTGTAGACAGTCTGCATGACCAGCTTACGCGCTCAATACAACTGTGTGAAATTAAAACTCAGAGTTAAGATTGGGCGTTGACATATCGTACACGTGCTTCACTGAGATAGGAACAAACCATTCAGATGGCCTCGACACCACAGCATCCAGCATGTGGTGTTGATCCCCCTAGAGTGTCCTAAGTTCACGAGCTTGGCGATGTACTATCCCTGGATTCTGCAGCAACGCGCCAGAATATGCAATGGAGCTACATATTAAGTGGCATTTGCCCATAGTTGTGGCTCTCGACGAGGTCTTCGACGACCCGCGCAGTCGGCAGAAGCGGGAGGTCTTTGTTGTGACTCGCCCCCAATATGCAGGGAATATGATGTTCAGCTGCTTAGGTGTCGAAATATAGGAGCCTGAAAAAGCTACAAAACTCAAGACTTCACAAGCTGCTGCGCACGTTTCACACGTGAGTATTTGCGCCGCGTGGGTGTTATGGGTGCAATGGAATCACTGTCAAGCCTCGTTGCCTTGGAGGAAACTAAAGCATCTTCAACCCATGCAGCGCCTTGGACGGCTGAATCCACGTTTAGTGACGCTGCTGTTACGCATGAGGCTTCTCCTCCCTCGTTGGATACTGGCAAACGCAATGAACGGCATGAAACAAGCTTCACTGCTAGGAGCGCCTGCCTACAGGGCATACCTTGCGACGACCATGGAGCCCAGATGAAGCCAAATATATATGGTGCTGCTTGCGGTGAACACACGCAGCCTGCCCCAGAAGTGGTGGGCCACGATGTAGCGCTTCCAGCAGTCGGCCCACAGGGAGGAAGCCTGGGGATTGAAGTGTCAACTGAATACGTCATGGCACTGCAGGGTGCGGGTCAATTTAATGTGTGGGAGCCGGTCCTCCGCAAAGTGCTTCCATCTCAGGAGCACTCCCTCTTGCTGGGCCAGATCTGCTTCGATGTGACAGATGGGGACCAGCGGGGCTCTTGGTTGCTACCGGAAGAGCTACTGGCTGAGTGGATCGCATCGGCTGGTGAGGATCACGAGGACAGACAAATCTTCACTAACACGCCGGTCAGTGAGGAAGAACAGGACGCCATAGAACAGGTCCTCTTGCAGCTTCTGGAATCACAGGAAGAGGATGTCGAGAACACAGCAAGTCGAGATCCCAGCACGATTTTGGGGGTACAACCAGTCTGGTTGGAACAACTCGTGCTGAGATACCTGTACAGCTGTTCTTTTGATACTCAAAAGACCTTCGACCTTCTACAATCAACACTGTCTTTCCGGAGACAGCAGCTTCCCGTAAGTCTTCCTCATTTGCTCCTGAGCCACAGCCAAAAGTTCCACACTTGCTCCTGGCTAAATAGGCTCCTGCGTGCCCTCTTGTGCTTCTGTAATTTTTCGGTGGATTAGCTGTGTTATTATTATCACATTATCTCCTTGTTGAATTGCTTGACAGGTGCTTGAGTCTGAAGTGTACTATGAGCTGCGGAGCTTGGGCGCATGTTATTGGCATGGAAGGGACAGGAAGTTGCGGCCGCTTCTTGTAGTCTCACTGCAAAGATTGCAACAGCTGCAGAGGGACGGTGGGGTGGAAGAGAAGGTTACTCGCCTTATCATCTTTTGTCTAGAATTCTTCCTAAGGTAAGCTGACTTGCAGTACTGGCTGCCACTGCGCCGGGGGACTTCATAGTTCAGGAATTCAGTGCGATTAGTAGGTGCTGATGCTTCGTAGACGGGACAGTGCGGATGCGTGACCTATGTACAAGACCGATGAACAGTTGACGTTTAGATGTTATCGAGGCAGCTCTGTCATTGGGTTTCTATGGCTGTGGCTATTGCGTATGTTTGCATTGGGTTCTTTCAGGTACTTGTGCGTCGCGGGAAAGGTCGAAAGTTGGTGCATCCTGTGTGACCTGAGTGGTATATCGATATCTAGTTTTCCATTGCCGCTGCTTTTTAAGTTGATGCAACTAATACAAGGATCGTATAGAGGCCGCCTCTATCGTTTTTATATTCTTGCACGCACCAAGGCTGTTCCACTTTGTGGCTAAACCACTGGTGGCTTCTTTGCCGTCAACTACAGCGAAGAAATTTAGAGTGTTCACAAGTTTCGATGAGTGGCAGCAGGAGCGGCGAGCACAGTTTGCTTCTCATCAAATTGAGAAGAAATTCGGGGGAACAGCTCCGGATGTAACCGAGGTACTAACGACTGCATTTTATTTTGCAATGTCTCGTCGTTAGCACTGTATTTCCTGTAGGCGGAGGCATGGACGACAGCGCGGTGCTTCCGCCTGCGATGGGTGCCCGCCCCCACCGCGTTGGAGGCGCATGTGATGCGTTTTGTGCACAGAATTGGTACCCTTTCCGCTTTTACCCGGGGCCGTTTGATCCGGAAGTGGAAAGTAGCCCAAGCGCTGTTGAAAGAGGAGTTGTTCGTTGGGACAGCGAGCCGGCGTTGCACACCAGGGTCCACCCCGTCGTTCACTGTGGAGTATCTCTCCACACGTCCATTTTGCGATCCCGCAGCCCAGACCGAAGTATTTCACTTTTCCGATATGCAGCGTGGCTCCGTCATCTTCCTGAACTGCAGTTAGCTCCAACAACAGTTGTATGGGCAAAGCGTATGGTTTGCCATCACCTGGTGGCGCATCATAAGTGTTTAATTCGCCATCTGAAAGGGAACTCGTTGGAAACAGCAGTGGATCAAGATGGGCGAGTTTGCAACGAGTCGGCCACCGAAGAACCCGGGACTTTGTCTGCGGTTTCAGATACAAAGACATGTTTGGTCACAGTGGATGCCAGCTCACAGAGCTCAATTGAGCAGTTGTCACCTTCTTCTGCGATGAGAAAGACACCTGGAAAAATGTCTAGAGCATGTACTGGGCAGCGTTATCCTTCGCAGAGACTTCTAGGTGGTGAGATATCTTCGACGGCTTCTTCGCCACCTGACTGCCTGCTTGCGCTGCTGCCAGAGAGTATAGCAGCCCACTGCAGTGAGTCACATAGCTTTGTAATGGAGCATTCACTCGCGGGCTACACAGAAGTATTACCAGCCGGCAGCTTCAAAGTTATGGAATCTACAGCAAGGCAGGCAATGTCCATGTTCGCTTCCACCAGCTCAAAGGCATGCATAACAGTGATACGACTTCACAAGGCACGCTTTTGTCTCATTACTGAATCTCTTTCAGCGGCAGCGCTTGTTGCTGGGTCGTTTAGCGTCTCTTCTCAGCGGCGCGCCCCTTTAGAGGAGCAGCTTTGTTCGGTGTGGCAGTATTCTTCTTCGCATGCCCGCTCGATATCGATGCACACTACTACTGCTACGTCCGAGAGCGCTGCGAAGCCTCGCGACGAAGCGCAAATGGCTCGTGAAACCAGTGCGATCTCCCGAGTGGTGAACGTGAAGTTACAGGCTCTGTCTAACGGGATCATATTTTCGAAGCAGAAGTGTATGGCACTGCTCGAAGAAGGGCAGGCGGCGCAAGGCTTGAGCTCGCTAAAGGTTACGCGCTTATTTAAAACGCAGGGGAAAAACGAGGAAAGTCTGGGGGCTGCATTGTTTGAGTTGAACAAATTTTATGGAAGTTGTCACGAGCCGAACGCGCTGGCTATAGGATGTCAACCCTCCGTGCAGCTATCATCAGATGCTGAGAAGGAGAATATAGGCTTTCGACGTGCGGATAATTCAGTCGAGAAAGCGCATTGCCGAGACAGATTACTGTCACCGCGGCATCTCAGCGAAGGTAGCAGCTTCCTTAGTGCGGCGGGGAAGTGCGGTAGGACCATCGCGCGGACATGCTTGACAATGCGAGGAAGCAGGCGAAACATGCCGGATGTTTCGTTAGGAGGATCCAGGGCACCAAATTTGCGCGGAATTAGCGAGGCAGGAACAATGGAAACGCCATCACGCCTCTACTTGGAGAAAACAGTCCGGCCTGCCTCACCACCTGATGGACAAGTGTTTGGAGGAATCCAGCGGAAAGCAGCAGTACCAGGAGTGATGGGGCGCCAGTGTGTTAGAAGTCCGCGACTACAAACGAGGAAGCCAAGAAATGCGACGCAGACGCTAATGCCTCAAACTCGCGGCAAAATTGAGTTTCATGCCCATAAAGCGACAGGCGCCCATTTCCTTGGAGACCAATCCACTACTTCATCACATTCTGAGGAACTAAGCACGTCGGCAACTCGGCATCATGATGGCGTTTTATGTTCAGTACCATCGTATCGAAGCAGAGGTGTATCCTTGCATTCAAGGCATCAAGAAAGGATAGCTCAAAACGCAGACACAGAAGGCCGGCGCGTCGCACCAATTGACAGAAAGGCAGCATATCTTAACACTTTGCAGCCGGCTACCAAGATAAAACGTTGGGAAGCAAGTAAAGTAAGCTGCCAATCACAGGAGGCTGTATTGTGCAGCGTTGACCGAAGCTCAAAGCCGGTTGAGGTTCGAATTGAAGCGAACCAGCCAGACTCTGGGGTGCTGGGAAAAAGCAGGATAAAATCTGGCGGCAGTCTAAGGCCGAGGCGGGTAATTGGGAGGCTGCTACCGCTGTTTCTTTTGGCAGTGGCAGCGTTTCCTTCGTCAATGTGTGCAGGGCCACTTTTAGTTTTGGCGGCGTTGACACATAGGGGTGGGAACTTGAGCAGTCAAGCAGGGCACTTCATTCGAAGGTGCATGCTGAACAGGGGAAATTCGGCGGTGAATTCCCAAGGCCTCACACAACGGCAGTGTCACGTCGCGTGGTTGGAGTCAACGCGTTACCCTTTCTCGCCACCTGCCGCCTTCAACTATGTCGTGGGTAGGCATCGGCAGGTAAATTCTTCCAGCTATTATGTAGCTCCGGGCGAACCTAGACCTTCCCGCTATGAACACTTAATTCTCAGTGGCCATTCGAATCCTGTCTCGTTGACTGCTCCACAAGGACTTTCAATGCGTCGCGCTGTTCGTGTTGCCGCGGTGAAACCGAAGTCTAGGGGTTCAATCGATAAGCGTTTTAAAGTTACAGCAACTGGGAAGCTACTTTACAAGAGGCCAGGGCTGCAACACCACGCGCACACGAAGTCTTCAGCACGACGTGCAAGGCTTCGCCGTGTGGCGTCGCTAAAGGCAAGCCACATTTCGAGGCTTCTTGGGCCTCTTAGCGTGTGATGACGTGGGGATTCCCAGTAGTTCATGTCCGGCTCCACAAACCCCTGTGCACCGCTAAAACAAGCGCAGTCGCTCGCTCGGACATGGTTCATCACATGTGGCAACGCACGGTGACTGTGCCGGTCTCTGAAAGCGTGCTCATCAACAGATTTCTTTGAGGAGCTTGATGCTGGCAAGTGCGTTTGCATGGCACGAATTTAGAGTCAAAAACGTCAAAAAGGGTCGTGATACGAAACAGTACTTCTGTTATGTGTGCGGACCCCGCATCGTTCTGTACGCGATGCTCTTCATCACACCGCCTGTTGAGCCAATATGACCAACGCTCGCATGCATATAAGGCGTAGCTATGTACAGCATAAAATTCAAATTCGCTACTTTGAAGGAGAGCTGTACTGGTTCCTGGAAAGCTCTTCAAGACCTTGAGTCAAACGGAACATGGAAATGTTCCAGTTCGCCCGAAAAGTAGTACGGTGGGAACTTTGCCAAGGTGGAGGTGGGGAGAGGACAGTAAAAGATCTGAGATGCTTATTACTCATGCAGATGTTGAAGACGTAGAAAGCGCAAGCGATAAATGCCTCATTAGCGGCGACACTACTTGACGCAAACTGGGCCAAATTTCGGCTCAGTACCGAGTCACAAGGACCGCTGAACCAGTTATGAATGGAGGGCTTCCAGCGTGCGAACTCTGGCTACCTCATGAGCCCAGAAGACCCCAGGTCAAATAAGCACGGACACACAATGTGGCGCTACGGCATAATGCGCCATCAATCACGTTCGAGCATTAAATGTACCGAAGTCGAACCGCTCTAGCGAAGGGTGTCACTGGTGCCGTTCGGAGTCGAGCACTAAGCAGTTAGAATCCCACGCGCCGTGCAAGCCTCTACGGGTAAAGGCACACTGGTTGCTCCAGGTTTCCCAAAGTAAAGGACGTCATCCTAACAGAAATGACACAGTAACAACTGCGGCGATCACATATGCTGCTATACTTTTACCTTTCGGCGAACACTGCCCTGCATTCTCCTAGCAAGCCCTAGCGTTCCTCGCCGCACTCGGTCAGAAAGCGATACTGGCAGCCGAATAATTCTTCTTGAGGTACCGCATGTTGAGAAGAAACTCCTCGACAACTTTGCATCACTCGGTACACCCACGCAGAGTTCGCAGTCACTCTCACTAGCACGTAACGTGCTCTCAGAGACAGGAAAACGCGTCTTTGGGACAACTCCAGGGTGCTTCCGGTAAAGCTTCGCCTTTCTGTGACGACGGGTTCCATTCGCTGGTTTCAAAATATTTCCTGGGACAGTAGCACCCTCTGCAGGGCAAGTCTGTGGGAGCAAGCGGCAGCTGAATCGCCGCCGTAGCCCAGTACAAGGCCGCTCTTCACTCTCATACTTTTCAAGCTGGTGTTTCACTTCAGTCTTGTGCAACTTTTTCCGAGTGTAACGTCTTTGCAGTTGTCTCGGTCGGGTTTCTCGTGAAGACGAATCGCACTGATCGAGTGACCCACACTGAACGGCTGGCCGCCTTTCCGAATGCCGATGATTTCCCGAGACCGAATTACAAAGTGCTCGCACCACACGCCTTAGCCTTCGAAGTTCCCTAACACGAGACGTTTCTGATTCGGGGAAAATTCCCGCAGTTTCTTTTGACTGTTGCTCCGTGGCTACTGAACTGCGTCTGTGCATTAGCTGCGCGGAGACACAGGGTCCGCCACCCGTGCCTCCGCACAACTGATCAGCAAGCCCTTGCCTTTGACTGCTGGACCAATCGTTTCGCGAACTAGACAGTTCCTGACAGTTTACGCTGCCTTCACAAAGCACGCAACTCCCTGATATGCTGCTTTCTGTGGCAGATAAAGTTGAAACACAGGGAGACGGCTCAGCTGCAACCGGAGAAATAAAATGTGAAATGCCTTGGATACGGATCTTTTGCAAATCCACGGACGATGTTGTCCTACTGAGCTTGCTGCGGTGTGATGCGCTGCCTTGATTGAGGATAGAATCCACCATGCTCTTCTTCGGGGATTTCGAGATAGGAGCTGGAGCCGCAATCGATATGGGCGACTGGTCCACATGGTCAGCCCTACCCTCAAGAAAGGCGCAAGCCAGCCTCTCTGCGTTTAGAACCTCCCTCGGAGCGTCGCATGAGAGGGAGAAAAAGCTATCGCTGGAAGAAAGCCACAATTTTGGTGTGCGTTCGCATTTTGGTGTATTGTGCCAGCAAGCGCTGGACGGAGAGCCTAAGGCTCCTTCACTTGCACCTGGAAGTGATACAGTCCGGCAGGAGCCACCCACTGATCTTGAAAGAGGTGAATCTGGGTGCTGCAGCTGCCTTGGAATGATTGACTGATACACTTCTGCCTCAGCGTATAGTTCCTGTTGCTCTAGTGTTTCCGTGCAGCCCGCCGGTGACGGAAGACAGCATACAGCTCCTGAATCTTCCGCATAGTCCGCTCCTCTACACTTACTGGTCGTGCGTTTTAGCGGCTCCACAGAAGAAAACCTGAATACAAGCTGGTCGTCCCGTTTGGTCTCTGGTAGAACAAAAGATTTGCCAGCAGCCCACTTGGCACGGTCATGCGCTAAGGTCCCGAAGCTATCCACCTTCTTAGAGGGGCTCGAGGCACGCTGTGCTTGTTTTGGTATTTGATCTGAGGGAACCTCCATGTGAGCGCTTTCTGATAGATCCTCTTGGAGGACTTGCGAGTACTCTGATGGTGCATCGGTCCTGCCAGCACTACAGAACACAGAAGGACCAGAAGTGCCGTGCTCATGCTGCCGGACTTCCCCCGCACACTTTTGTGGAGATCTCACACATCGCTCTGCTTGCCCGGGAACAAGCATGGTGCTCTGGGCAGCGGTGCTGTTCCTAATCAAGGCGGCATTTTCTGCACCAAATGAACGGTGTTCGGGTGCATGGTTCTGCACTGCTTCTGAGGGTGCAGTACCACCTGTCTCATCGTTCAAAAAGAGATCGCCTGGCCATAAAGCGGAAGTTCGATGGGAATTTTTCTGCGAAGCTAAGACTTCCGTCTGCTGCCCTGATGAACTACAGGCAGCATCAGCCTTATATTCTGCTGAACCCAATGCAGTAGAAAACGAACAAACGGGAGATGTCCCTGGGGACACACTGGTGGGGGAGAAAACTTGAGAAACAGAACGGGGTCTTGTTGGCGACAAAGGAGAAGCCAGAGTAGAAACTTCACGTGCTTCACCAGACGAATTTTCCGCTTTCGACACTTGCGCGACTCTCTCTCGGTGTAGCAGATAATCGGCCAGAGACCCATGGTGTTCAACCATGCGACCGCGAAGCATATTCTTTGCCCACGCAACAGTCGCTGGAGCTAACTGCAGTTCAGGAAGATGGTGGAGCCACGCTGCATATCGGAAAAGTGAACTACTTCGGTCTGGGCTGTGGGATCGCAAAATGGACGTGTGGAGAGATATCCCACAGTGAACGACGGGGTGGACCCTGGTGTGCAACGCCGGCTCGCTGTCCCAACGAACAACTCCTCTTTCAACAGCGCTTGGGCTACTTTCCACTTCCGGATCAAACGGCCCCGGGTAAAAGCGGAAAGGGTACCAATTCTGTGCACAAAACGCATCACATGCGCCTCCAACGCGGTGGGGGCGGGCACCCATCGCAGGCGGAAGCACCGCGCTGTCGTCCATGCCTCCGCCTACAGGAAATACAGTGCTAACGACGAGACATTGCAAAATAAAATGCAGTCGTTAGTACCTCGGTTACATCCGGAGCTGTTCGGGG